ATTGTTGTTTGGCGGGCCCAGGCTGGGGATTCAAACCCGCCACCTTAGGTGTATGTGGCTGGCACCTTAGCCGCTTGAGCCACAGGCGCCGAGCCGCTCATATGATTCTTCATCTGACTTTCCCCATGGTTACTCCTGACCCCTAAGCCAGGAACGGGCACGGACATGTTTCATTCTGAATGTTGTTTTGAGACCTTTTCTTTCTTCATTTTCTTTTTAAGAGGAAGGGTCTTGCTATGTTGCCCAGGCTGACCTTCTTTAACTCCTGGGCGCATGTGATCCTCTTGCCTTAGCCTCCTGAGTAGCTGGGACTGCAGGCGTGTGCACCACCACACCTGGTAACAGACACCTTTTCTTAAAAGAGGACCAGGTTGGGTATAATCATGGAATTTTTGTGTCAGAAAGGGCATTCAGTCGGGGTTCTGGGTGAAGACTGAGAACTACCTGGATTTAGTCCTACATTCAGGACTCAGGAAGAGGTGGGCTGAGTCACAATAGCCAAGTGCAAGAATCACAGAGCTCATTGTCAGAAACGAGTGGGAAAGTGTGTTTTGCAGTCAGTGCTGTAGGGATTCCCAGGACCATGAGTGTGAGCACAGTGAATGGGCAGGGCCATGGCTTGGCGCCTATAGCTCAAGCTGCTGGGGCGCCAGCCATGTACTCCAGAGCTGGCAGGTTTGAATCCAACCCAGGCCTGCCAAACAACAATGACAACCGTAACTAAAAAATACCCGGGCACTGTGGTGGATGCCTATAGTCCCAGCTACTTGGGAGGCTGAGGCAAGAGAATTGCTTAAGCCCAAGAGTTGGAGGTTGCTGTGAGCTATGATGCAACGGCACTCTACCCAGAGTGACAGCTTGAGACTCTGTCTCATAAAAGGGAGGGTGGCAGGGCCTGCCGGAGGGGCCTGTGTGGAGTGCAGTTTGAAGGGTTCTCACTTTCCCCCTTTTCTCACTAAAGCAGCTTGTGCTGATGGGTGACGTCAGAGTAGAAAGACTTATTTTCAGTCGCTTTCTGATTGTCTGACTTCACTCTGCCAGCACTTGCTTTCTGTGATAGCGCTCACGGCATCTCATGGAGGGAAGCGGGCTTTAACATCATGCAGGTTTCTGAGCCCTTTCCCTGCGTCTGCTACCAGGATGGTCAGTTAGGGAAGTAGTTGCAAGTGAGAACGTTGTAGCCGGGGTAGGTCCTCCCCTCAGAACGTGGGCGTAGGTCTCTCCAGGTTGTCTTCATTTTAAGATTTTAATCAAATGAATACGTGCACAAAATAGTGCGGAGAAAAACCCTTCCAAGCCCCCATTTCTGTTGCTGTTTCTAGTCCTTACCTCTTTGTCTGTAAATAATGTGCTTTTTCAAAACCTCGGTTTCTTAACTTTAGACGTTATTTCTTGGCTTCAGCTTTCAAAGACGAGAGTGGAGGTCACTTGTGACATCTCTTTTCCTCCTCCCAACCCGCTTAGATTCTTATCTCATGTGCTTCGTGGGTTACTCTAGTCAAGTGAAACCCTTGCCCTCCTTAGTTCTTACTCTGTCAGCCGCAGAAGGTATCTTGGGACCCTTTTGTGGAGGCCTATCTGCTCGACCTCTCCTGTCCGTGTCACATCCAGGCTTTCCACCTGCCCTGTACTTTTCCATTGTTCAAATTGTGCATTCTGTCCTGTGACTGCAGTGAAGCCTCGCTCTTGTCTGTAACATTCGAACTGCAATAACCCTTACTCGCATCATTACGTCCCTAGCACTCATGGCAGAGTCACATAGTGTACTGTGATTCCATTTCCATTCTTGGCCAGGCTTCCTTTTTCCTGGAGTTTCTCTTTTCCTTTATCCAAACTTCTCACCACTTGAGTTATTTTAAGGAGAACCCTTTCATAGCGCTGTGCTTCTATTGCTGCTCAATTTCCAGATGTGATTTGTTGGTGTCCTGCCATTGTCACTGAAGACCTAGACTACCTGCCACCCTGTCTATAGCTCCTTCCCCAGTCCTCCTCACCACATACACTTTCTCCATTCTCTCCTCCCCATTCTGTCCCCACCCTCGGCAGTAGACAAGTTATTTTTGCTCTAAAGTGCCTGACCTGCCTCTGTTGTTCTGGTTGAACCAGGCTATTGGCAGAGGTAGTAGTTTTGAGGAATTTGCTTTCCGTATGCTGAGAATTTGTGGCCTGCACAGTGCTTTTATGTCACTGTACACCGTATTTCCTACCTGTGATGCTGTGCTGTGTCCATGGTTTGATATGCCTTTATAAAGAGTCGTAGTCTCCTGCGATTGCATTAGGTTGGAGGATGGTGACATGAATGAAGGGCCAGCCGGTTCTAATAACAGCAGCCTGTTGATGATGAACAAAAGTAGCGAGCCCTTGGGGTTGTGCGGAATTCAAGCTCTCTGACAGACTCTGAGGCTGCCTGTGCTATCTCTTCAGTTAGCAAAAGGTGTGACAAGCAACCTGCCTATGCCCCAAGCACCACAGACCACCAGCCGCACCCCAACTACCCAGCCCAGAAGTGTAAGTATGACCCTGTCTCACGGAAGCTGCCAGGGAGTTCTTCCTGGCATGCAGAAGGCTCGTTCTGTGTGTGTTTGTGTGTGTGTGTTTCTTCGTGGGTGTGTCTTCCACTGTTCCTTTGAGTGATGGCTCTTAACTCTGCCTTGCAGCCCTTCTTCTTAGCTGTGCCTCTGGCATCCATCACACACCACATTAGGAAACAAGGGGAAAGCGTATGGGTTGGCCTCTTGAGGGGGATCCCCCTGCTCTTTTCATAAAGGCCTTAGGTTAGCACCAGCTCGTTCCCCAGTTCCCTCCTGCTATGATTGGTCCCATCAACCAGTACCGCCATGTGTTCTGTCTGTGCAAGGAGTTCGGCCCTGCAGATCCCTCAGATGGCCAGCCTGGATCGTAGCATGTCCCACCCTGCTGCCCTTTCTTTTGGTTCGCCCAGCTGGCCTCTGCCTTCACCAGGGCTGGAAGGATTTGATGTGGTTTGACGACATCATTGTAGGATTTTCTCATGGATGGTGATGGCCAACTGCATCATTTCTCACAGAAGATAGGGAAGAAGGCATCAGAAGAGGCGGATTCAGGATGGTTCAGGAGGCTCAGCTCTGGGCCCCCAGCTCTGCCTACTATAAGACTGCCCCTACTTGAGCATTGATGCGGGGCCTACGAAGAATTCTCTTCAGAGCGATTACATTACTCTGGAGATCTTTGTCATTTCCTTTGTTACTTACCTTCATGATGAAATACACATGTGCCTTTTTTTTTTTTTTTTTTAACCAGACAATAAGAAATACAGCCCCACCACCCTCGCCCACTCCACTTCTGTCTCTGAGCTTCTTCCAACCAAATAATATTACACCACCTTGAGAAATTATAAAATAAAAAAGAGATTCTGTCCCAATCTGTCTGAACCGGTAAATGATCTCAGACATGATGGGATCTTGGTGGTTGGCTGGAAGGCTTCTCATAGTCAGTTGTCCAGCTGAGCCTGCAGACCCGGACTGTTTGGTAGGTAAAAGGCTCTTCACGGACACCTCATTTGGCCCTTCCTTCATGTTTGTCATTTCTTACGCAGTCACTACTAAGATCCTCTTGTACCCATGTCCTTGAAGCCATCCTCCGTCTTATTCTGGCTCTGCATCCCTCAGTGACCCTTAAGCGTGTCCTTACTGGGAGCCAATGGGTCTTTGTTCCTAGCTAGACTTGAATCATTCATCTCTTTCACGATCCTCTCTCCCTTGGGTGGTTATAAGTCTGTTTTTCAAGTTGCTTGTAAATTGGGAGAAGAAATCCCATCAATGTAAAGAGATTGCATGTCAAATTGTGGTGCCTTTCTCCAGTGGACAAGTTTGGATGCGGAGCGTAGGGGGTTGGGTATCATTAGTCACCTAATAAGGGTACACGGTTCCAGACAGGGCCTGGGCAGTTTAGGGCCTTTCCCACTAATCTTTATTCTCTGTGTGCATGACACCCTACCGCTTTCCCAACCAGCTGTTGTTGAATCCTAAAACATAAGTTCTATCTTTACACTCTGAAGACCCACAGACTTCAGGAAGTCAGCGGTGGGCAGTATTTTAACTGTGAGTGTTGTACGGAGCGCGGGGAGGGGAAAGCGGCTTCCCAGATCAGGTTGCGGGGTGATTTTGCTTGGGTGCAGGTGGGCGGGCTTGCTCTAAACGTGTCGATTTTCTCCCCAGACCATTCCCGGAGTAGTAAATCCAGCTGGAGCAGCAGCGATGAGAAACGAGGCTCGGCACGCTCTGAGCATAACACCAGTAGTACCAAGAATCTCCTCCCGAAAGAGTCTCGGCTGGACACCTTCTGGGACTAGGGGGAAATTGTGACACCAACTGCCTGGCCCCTGGGGAGAAAACCCAGGACACCAGGAGAACAAGCCACCTTCAGACTTGAAAATTCTGAACATTCAGACTTGGCCTGTGCACCCGGCACAAAGGGCAGCCTACACTACAGGACATCCAGCATTACCTTCAACTGAGGACTGTTCAATACACATGAGCCCTATGCTTTCCATGTAAATAATGTACAATTTGTGGATGTCACTGAACCTAGAGTACCTTCCCCCTTTTATATTTGTATTGACTTTAACTTATAAAAAAAAAAAAAGAAAAAGAAAAGCAACTTTAAAAAAAAAAACCAACAACAAAAAGAATGTTTTGAGGTTGGAGAGAAGGGCTGGTCAGTTAGCCTGTCTGTCACACAGCAGATAGAGACTGAGCCTGGGGATTGCTGTCTCACACGTGTCCTCATCCTTGGATACCCAGGGGAAAGCGAGCCGTTTCCGCTTGGATGTTTATATGCAACTTGGTTGGCAGCAGGAGTTTCTGCACAGACTCCTGTGCGGTGTGGGCACATCCCATCAAGCCATTGGCTCCTTTCAGGTACTACGTCACTCTTAAAACACAAGCTCTCCAGACCCAAAGGACACAGGGAGAAGCTCAGTTATTTTTTGGCATTTAAATAATGACTGCTCCTAAAAGGGGGGGGAGGGGAGGGAAACTAACAACCCAAACGTCCTTGTTTACAGAAGAGAAACAGAAACAATCCCTGCTCAGCTCAGTTGTAGAGGAGAAGAAGGTAGAAAGTGTTAGGGTCCTAAGCTTCGAAATAAAGAGAAATCTTTCCTTTGCTTTGTGATTCCTTTCAACACACTCTCACACACACACTTGGCAAGCAGAGAAGCGGTGCTTCTCGGAAGCAGGAACTCAAAGGCAAGCTGCACGCAGAGGACGTTTGAGTCTGGGGTGAAGCATGTATGTATTATTTATAGGATGGAATTTTACATTTTTATGTAAGCATGAAACAAAGGCAGTATGAGAGAAAAAAAGCAAGACCCAGTCATGCTGTCTGTTACACTACTCCACGTGTAGTACCATTTTGTATGTTGTGTAAAACAAAAAGCATTGATCCAAGCAGAAGGCGATGTATGTATATGAGCAAATTAATTGTACGATATCATTCCAGTACATTCTGTTGTACATTTTAGTCTCGTTTACTTTCTCTTCATTGTTGATAAGAGGATGCGAACTGTACAGTTTCCAGCTAGTTAACCCATAGTAGAGAAGAATTAAAGAGGGTGTTAGAAGAAACCAGGAGAGAGAGAACATTTGTGAACTGCAGTTGTCAAAAAAAAAAAAAAATAGCCTAGCTGGCCTTATTTGTGAAGCCTAATTGCTTTTAGCATATGGAAGTATTTTTTCACATTTTCTTTGTATAAAATTTGTATTAAACTTAAATATCTTTTTTGATGATGGTGTTTCTTTGTGACTGAGCCAGTGGACTCACACAATATGCTCTTTTGGGTTTTCCCCGCCTCCTCCCCAGTTTTTTCAGATCCTTCACCTTTTTTTAATTAAACTGTTTTGGAAAATGCCTTGGTTGTCCTCAAATTTGCAGCTTTCCATTTGGTGGGGATAGCTTGGATAGCTTCATCAGGTTACAAAATGAAACACAGGAGCGGGGATCAGAGAGGTCCCAGCCCTGTTAAGAGATCCCCCCTCTTCCCACTCAGAGCAATAGCCTGTGTGGGAGGGTGTCTTTGTGGCCAAGATCAAGACCCAGGCCAAGCTAACAGGACGGGCGTGGGCAGCAGTGAGTGATCCTGGCACAGATCCACAGCTCTGGGCCTGGGGGGAAGGTGCCCAGGGCATGAGGGAAATGAAGGAGTCTTGGAAGGCTGAGGTTTGGTTTCTCTGCTGCTATAGTGTCCCCTTTCTCCGAAATCCAGTAGTTCCTAGAGAAGATAGGCCCCGCCAACACCTTCCTGACAAAGGCTAAGACTTGACATGGCCTGCCCGGGAGTTTGGAAACAGGAGTGTAAGTTCCAACAGAAGATCAGCCAACACGTTGGGTTGGGACACCGAGGATACTGTGGTGACGTTGAGGGGTTGATCCGGGGGATTTGGGGGGTCCAGGGTGATCCGATCCCTGCCCTCATTGAGTTTGTGTTCTACCGGAGGTGAAAGTCAAGTATTCACAGGGGACCTAGCATGCGTCAGGCACCATGTCAGCTACTGGGGAAGAATGAGTAAAAGGCCTCGGAGCCCAGCTATAGTCAATTTTATAACAGGAGACAGACTACGTATTTAAAACGTAACGTAAACAAGAGGGTCAATGTGAAAGCAGAGGTCTGTGAGCTCCATAAAGTGCCCGAGTAAACGCTGGAGGCTTTGCCGGCCCCTAGGTCTCTCAAGACTGCCCCCTGCTGCTGCGGAGCGAACCCAGCCACAGAGGACGCATCACACGCGCGAGGTTGAGTTCCAATAACGTTTTACAGTCACTGCAATTTTAATTTCAGTCCTTGGGTCTCCAAATGATTCATTTGGTGGTTTTCTAGTCATCTGAAAACATAAACAGTATCTCAGCCCACGAGCTTTACAAGAGGCAGGGGATGGGATGGATTTGGGCCACTGGCTATTGGCTGACCGGTGCTATGCAGGCGTCCTCAAACTACGGCCCGCGTGCCACATGCAGCCGGTCTAGGACATTTATCCGGCCCGCCGGGTGTTTTTGCCGCTGCTGCCTGTCCTGCTTAGCAGCCGACTCATCCCGGGGCCCGCAGTCCGGCCCTCCAACGGTCTTAGGGACAGTGTACTGGCCCCCCGTTTAAAAAGTTTGAGGACCCCTGCCAAGGGACAAAATGGAAATGTTTTAAGAGCAGAACGGAGAGTTAGCATTTGATATACATCTTCTGCTTGGCCCTCCCTCTTCTAACTTCAAAGGTGACGTTCAGATGGTCTCCAAACACTGCCTGCAGCAAGCAGCCCCGCGTGCGTGCGTGGGGTGACCATGCAGGGGGGCGACTGGAGGGGCTCGGCTCTGGCAGGATGCATCTGACCTTTGAATGCATCCCGACGCGCTCGCCACCTGGTGGTCACAGGCAGAACTGCGGTTCGCCGAGACATCCGGACCACGGAGAACAAGGAGCATGTGAGCCAGTATCGTTCTTTCTTAGACTTCAGTTTTTGGCCGGGGCCGGGTTTGAGCCCGCCACCTCCAGCATATGGGGCCAGCGCCCTCCTCCTTTGAGCCACAGGCGCCGCCCCATTAGACAGCTTTTTTTCCTGAGCCCTCTGTATGAGCCAAGCACTGGGACACAGTACCCTAACTAGTTAGTGAGGACAGGCTGAGCAAATACTTGTAAGCATGCAATGGTTACCTGAAGGTAAGGAGGGGCGGTAGGGGAAATAGATGGTGTTTGGGGGATGCCTTTCCCAGGGGCTGATCTTTGAGCAGTAACCTGAAGGAGGAACTGAGCCAGGACGTCTTGGGCAGCGACTGTTAATGCTAGCTGAACAGGAGAAGAATTTGAGTTGATTAAAAATAAAACCCAGTTAACCGCCCAGATGCCACCCGAGATAAGGCCTCTGTGAGCTGGGGACTGGGCGTCAGGACGTTTTGGAGCTCCTGGGGTGATCAGAATTGAGAGCCTCTGACTCGGTTGGAAGAGCATCTGGGGAGAAGGAAGAGCATGTAGAGGAGGGAGGAAAGGCCCTGAGGACTCTGCGTCTTCCAGAAAAGAAGGCAGGCCAGTGAGGCTGGGATGGAGGGATTCTGGAAGAAGGTGGCTGTTGAAGAAATCAGAGAGGGAGAAAGCTGGGGGTTGGAGATGGAGGATCCAGGGGAGCCTCTGGTGGTGTGTACTCTAAAGAGTTGGATTGCTTAAGCCCAAGAGTTTGAGGTAGCTGTGAGCTGCGACGCCATGCACTCTACCAAGGGTGACTCTGTCTCAACAACAAAAAGGAGGTGGAAAGCTCAGTGTTCGCTGGGTGGATTTTTTTTTTTAAAGCTTTATTGATGTATAATTTTCACACCATATAATCCATCCATTTAAAGTATATAATTCAGGCTTGGTACCTCTGGCTCAAGTGGCTAAGGCGCCAGCCACATACACCTGAGCTGGCGGGTTCGAATCCAGCCCAGGCCCACCAAACAACAATGATGGCTGCAACCACAAAATAGCCAGGTGTTGTGGCGGGCGCCTGTGGTCCCGGCTACTTGGGAGGCTGAGGCAGGAGACTCGTTTGAGCCCAGGAGTTGGAGTTTGCTGTGAGCTGTGATGCCACGGCACTCTACCCAGGGCAACAGCTTGAGGCTCTGTCTCAAAAAAAAAAAAAAAAGAAAAAGAAAAAGAAAAAAAGTATATAATTCAATGATTTGTAAGTATTTAAAAATTTTAAAAAATTGTGAAATGTATACAACAAAATTTACCATTTTTGACTATACAATTCAGTGGCATTAATTAGAGTTGTGCTTGACAAAGTTCAGCATTCAGCTACCACTTTCATATCAGGGTACATCAGGACACCACCTATATTAGTATGGATTTCCTTAATCTGGTAAAGTAAAGGTCACTCACATTCCTCCCTGGGCATGTCCCACATGCTGGGCTCTGTGCTGAGGCACCATACTTCCTGATAACTCTGCACACAACACAGACACTAGTAATGGGGTCCATTCTCCAGATGAGGAAACTGAGAGAAAGAAGTAACTTGCTCAAAGTCACATAAAAGGTCAGGACTCCACAGGCTGCCTAATTCCCCAACCAGTGCAGAGAGCCATCTGACCACACTGTCTCAGTTACAACTAACCTCATGACCGTGGCACTGTGGTAAGGTAACAACACACCTTCCCAGGTACCCTTTCCCTCTCTCAATCTCCCATGGGGTGGGGATTGTCCCCTTTTTATGCAGCTCGGGAAACTGAGACTCAAGAGTTAATGAATGAATTTGAAGAGGGGTCAGGTTTTTAGTTGCAAACAACAGAGTCCACTCTAGCTAATTGGAGCAGGTGAGGAACTTGTTCAAGGATATTTACTCAGTGGCTTACAGATCTCTGGGAAGGCTGGGAGACCGCATAGCCACCGACAGTGTCCAAATTATATTGTAGGACTTTCTTGTTGAGACATCCCCCATCACTGCCACTGGGCCCAGACACTGCAACTCATTGCCCAGGCTCGGCGTGTCCCTCTGCCTCTTTGCTAGATTGGATTCCATGTGTCAGAGTCCACTTCCATTGCTTCCACATGTGGCTGTATCTGGACTGGCTGAGCCTGGGTCCAACGTAGGTGCCTCTGACTGACAAAGCCTGGGTACCATGTGGGGCTATGTGATTGACTGAGCCTACACCACATGCCTACGTTCTTTTTTTTTTTTTGAGAC